TGGGGCACTGAGCTCCTCGGTACATCAAGAACAAACTGACGCTGGCGATTAAGTTCCTCTTTGGACGGAAGGCCAGACGGAATCCCACATTTTTTGCTTAATAGTAGTCGAGATGACCCATCTCTACTTAGATCTTTACTTCATCACAGGGCAAAGTAGTGTTCTGCACGGTGGAAATCCACAGTATTTAAACCAAGGCACTAAAGCGTAACCTCTCGTGGGACCGAAAGTTTCTTCGCATTAATCCGGGTAAGTCTAAATGTTTATAGTAATGAAGTCAAGTAGAGAAACAGAAGTGTCCAACTTTATCAGTAGAGGAAACACTTATTAAAAGCCACGGTATGTGTTCCCACAAGGACAATACTGTGCAACCTGCGAAACAGATTTCTTAAATCACAGTACAGTGCATTTAACAAAACGTGTGTGCCAATGTTTACCGGGGCAATGGAAAAAGTATTTGACACAGTGCCGCACCTGAGGGTACCATGCGATATTAAAGCTACTGTTATCGAGGATCCTCCGCATTTTCGGTTATACTAACATCTTACTGAAAGAGAGCGTGCAGTGTACATGAGGAACAACTTTTCGAAATCCAATGTGGTCACAACTGTGGTTATCCAAGGTAACGTCCTTGAGAACTTACTCTTTCTCATATTCGGAAATGATGCACTTCAGAGTATAACGGATGGTGCTGCATTCCTTTTCAAAGCAGATATGAAAATTCATACTCGACTCAGGCAGAAAGAAATACGAGCTACGTATAGCCGTAATACGATTCGGCAGATGTCAACGCTTTTGGAAAAACGTGAGTTGATATGACTGACCTATTTTCCATATCGTTAAGTCTGAGGGCGAACGTATGGAATTCTCGAATGCTATGACTGGAGCTTTTAGGGCATATTTCACTGAATCGCTTGACATGGTGTCGTCGAAATTTACATCCTCGATAAACGTCATTGTACAAATCAGCTACTGACCTTAGTGTGTCCAGTATGAAACGTACTTTCGTCTCTCTACGGATATCCGATAGCCCTGACATTGACGTGATCCCCAGCCTTAAACCAGTACGGAGATGAAGATATTTTCCGTCCTCTTAGTGTATTTCTGCTCTGTACCTCCAGTCCGACCAATATCCTGAACACTGGAGTAAGTCTGCGGTTACACCGCGATGTAAGTTTGGATCGAAAACAGATATACGAGACTACCGCCCGATTAGCCACACTGTCATTTTATCACAAATGTTTCAAGGAATTGTTAGGTGTCATTTAGTCTCTCTTCCATTACTGCACCGTCTTCCCTCGCTTTTGCACTGGGGTTTCCCAAAGTCACGCTTGTGTGTAACCTACCAACTCGATTTCCTAAACTAACCAGCTGATGCGCCTAATGCAGGTCTTCAGTGCACACTCAAATTCCTTGAGATGCAACAAGCATCTGACGGAGTTCCACGCATGTGAACCCAGTACGTACGTACGGGATAACAAATTGATTTCTCCCTTGGCTTCCATCATATCTAGATGGATGATCCAAGGCTATTTACATAAATCACACCATCATTACACCCCGCAACCTCACCAGCAGAGTGATGTAGGACAGCGTTTTGCGCCCCTTACTCTTCTTATTGTACAAAAATGACCGCACCTACGTAACTGCAATTGGAAAATCTTATCTGTACGTTGATGATATTAAAGCTAATTACGTCCTCTTCACTTCGAGGTGACATCAGAAACAGTCTATATAGGAAATGAGTTACAATATATTGATTGATGAGCTACAATGTAACGGATGACGTTCTTAGCCTCTAGGTCTAATATATCACGGTGCATACATGTTAAGCAGAGGCATGGTAATTCAGGCTTCATTACGAGTCTATTGCCATTAAATCCTCTCACCGTGGCTTAGCTGTGAGTTATTCCAGTTAAGAAAAATGAAGCAAAAATACAAATCACGTAGTAAAATTGGTTAAGACATCGGTTGGGCTCATATGTCATGTGCTAATTTTGGAAGAAAGCAGACTGATTACATACAAAGATTGCTATAACACCTATGCTTGAATGCTACCGTGATAGATTTAGCAACCAGAGCAAATGTGGCTTGAAGGCCACTAAAAGGTTACAATGCATCTTCACTAAGCGTGTCTTTGGTTATTCAACCATCCATGGGAGTTGTTCTGCCGCACTATTTTATCGGTATAACACCATGGATTCATTGTTTGACCGTAGTTTTATTTAGAATTAATTGTGCGGAGCTGAACCTCAAGCTCTTAAGATTCAGAAGACGGCATTTAAAACTATTTCCCCACAGTAACTAGTTTGGCGACAAGAATTCATTGCAAACTAACAATTGCACGTACGAATAAAATAAAATATTATATTAAAGACACCTACTGTGTAGTCACCTTGCCCAGATTTAACACCCATCGTGGTTAAACATTTCATGTCCTCGGACACCTTACCGTATGGAATAAGCTGTTTAAATAGATAAGATGCATCGTACAACCGTGCATATTTGAGAAAATGGCGATGGTTTATCTACCAAATGAAAGCGTGGATAATATACTAAGCATTCAGACTGACGGGTAAAAGGACTGTTTAAAGTAGGACTAGACCACATAAAATACAAAACAATAGCATTTGCAAAGCGTTAAAACGAGTGGAAATATCAAAAACTCAATAAACATTGTGTGACGATTTGGGAACAGGTAGCAGAACAAATTATCTTCATTCATTATTCCAATCCATCTCTTTCCACTTCCTGTCCTACTGCCGCTCCTAACCTTAGCTTATGTAATCCTTCTGGCTGACTGCATAAGTCCTATTCTAAATTTGTCTTCGCCCTGGGCAACCGGGAAGCTTTCTGCCCAAACAACAAATAAACCTTCGTACCTCTCCCCTTGACTACCACTTCTCTGCTTTGTTCTGTTGTTACCCATGTGTTACGGCATACTGCCAATGGTGGCGACATCCTGATGGATCGTCGACTCGCTGGTGGTGATGTTGTGCCGCTGGCTCAAGTCCTGGAAGCCTCCTATTGGCGACCGTTGAGTGGGAGTTGAGTTAAATCTTTCTTCTAGCCATGAGTCAGTACACACAATTCTGTGTGAGTCCGTTCACCGACTCATGGCACACGACCCGCTGCATTTCGCACGTACATTTTGTCGAAGGCTTTGGCTGAGGAACCTAGTCATTCTTCTGTCAGGTGTGGACGCCCTGCCAGTATCCTTGGCCAACCCTAACAAAGCGCAGTGGTCTTAGGAAAAGGGTTGCCTTATCTGCGGCACACAACGAGGTGGATGAACGAAAATATGCAAAAGCTGACATCACCTTTCTTTCTGCTTCCCCTGCACATAGTCTAACATTCCCTGTTTCACCTAACCCGTTACATCCTATAACACAGCTGACCACATGCAGTTGTACGTGGACTCCCAAACAGATAGGAGAACATTTATGAACACAAACCAACGCCAATGGTTTGAAATCCTGTCCGTAAGGCTGCAGCTGGTGGATGGCAGTGACCTGGGTTTATAGAAATGAACGACATCCAGTTTCTAACCCCTAAGATGGAGGAGAAGGATTTTGAGATTGACTGACCTCTAGCCATTGATTAACCTGGTAGAACCAACTCTCAATAGACTCTGGGGCACCACCTAGTATACCTCAACGGGTCGAAATGGTACTCAACCCGCCGCAATTCATAAGTTCCAGCCTCATCCCATCTTAGCTATGAAACTGTTCGAAAGATTTTGGAACAATTTTAGCCCGGGTTGGTTGCTCACCTGTTGATGCATTACATCGTTTCGTCACCATGCGAGGTGACATCTTCAGTGCAGGGATATGCAGTGTACAATCCTGCTTATTGAATCGTCCGTCCGTGACCGACGGGCCAGCGACTTCAAAAGTGGCAATTTCGATTTGCGCCTCGTGATCTCTGCCCATTCTCTTCCGCGACTGAACCACATTTTTCTATTAGCCGGAGACTTTTCTTCCTAAGCTGATGGTACACTGGATCCATGTCGATGCGCCTGATGATCGAATTATTATATTACCATGCCTCTTCTCCTCTAATAATTTGATCAACATGCGCATCGACGTCGATCCGGTGTACCACCTGCTCTGAAAGAAAGATCTCCGGAGATTAAAGAGACGTGGTTCAGCCGCGGAATAGAACGGACAGAGCTCATGAGGCGCAAATCGAGATCGGCACGTTCAAAGTCACCTGGCCGTCGATCACGGACTGACGACTCAATAAGCAGGATTACACACTGCATATCACCGTATTGAAGATGCCACCTCGCATGGTGGCGAAACGTATGCAATCACTTTATCAAGCTCGGAGAATCGATCAACAAGTGACCATGAAAATGTTGTGATAAAAGCTCCAAATAACGAAAGGTTAGTTTCCACGTTCCGCAGTGAATGCTGCAATAAGGCACCGACCCATTGAGTGTAACGGTGTTGTCTTTCATCTACCGTACCGCCGTAACTGATTAAGATTGGGACAATTCTGTAGGCCACCGTCTCAAATACCGACAGGATTATGCATATTATGGCAGAACCAACATAGATGGTAGTGTAACCCAATCCAAATGGTAAGCTGCAATTTACAAATTAATTAGGGCGTTTCTAACAGCACGGGACCCGATTTGGAGCGAGTATAAATTGTACTTAAATATACGATACTAGTGATGGCATGGATTTATTCAGGCCGGCTCGTAGCCCTAACGATCATAAGGAGGGCGCGGGTTCGAGCCTGCGTAACGACCGGGCGACCCTCGCAGTACCCTTACCCCACGTGCGAACGGTGATCGTTAAGCAACAGCGAAGGGTCGATACTGCATACCGGCGTGTTGCTGACGCTCTTTTTATGGGTTTATACAGGTAGGATGTATTACCTCTCATCTCGAACAAAATAATGGCTTACCGCTCGGTTAGACACCGACCATTTATTAGGTGGTGCATAACAGAAAGAATGGACTGCACTAAATCCCATTGTTCAAAACTCACATGCCGGTCTCCGGGTCAAAAGTAGGACTTGAGCACCAGGGGCGATGGTCACCACTCCATGATGGAAACGACTGCGTGGACAACGTCTGGGTAGCCGAATGTGTTTTGTTAGGGAAATCCTCAGCTTTCCTGACACTTTCGTTCACTCGTTCCGATTCCATTGTGAACTGGGTCGATGTGTGTCGGTGACTTTTCTGTATTTGTTCTGGTACAGTACGATACAAGAGAAAGTACTTGGTATTCGGTTCAGTTTCAGTGGTGAAAACTACCATGTTAGGTGGATAAACCGCATTTATCGGTAATATACCGGTAATCTCTAAGGGTATTTCGTCGTTATTATAAGGAGACTGATAGAGTGACTGCATAAGAAGAAGATCACAGAAGGTACCCGCGTATATCCAACTTATTGAAAAACAATGTTACCTAAGTTACATACGTTTTGTGACCAAATTCCATAAAATCAGTCACCATTTATATTAATGACAGCGGTGCCACTAGGCGGACTAGCAGAAAATTAAACTATAAGTACTCGGGTACTTTTAAAATCTAACAGTATTCAGTTCACATAACAGAATACAGGTAACGATACAATCGTTCATGAGAAACGTGATCAACGTAACGTAGGACAAATTGTGTTTATTAAATAAATAATAGCAATATAATCCCACACGTTTCTGTTCTCCCCGTAGTTTGTTTGGTAGCTTGTGTTCATACATTTATTGAACATTCTTTCAACGGTAATCACAGAAGCTTAGGATTTTGTGTTAGGGTCCACTGAGCCGGTGTGCACCAAAATTAAACAGGTAGATGACGAAATAAATTTGCCACTTTCGTCTATGTGTTAGACCATGCAAAGTTAGCCGCCATCGAGGACATCAAGTTGAGGTTCAGTAATAGGGGGCATGCATTTCTGGCAAAATTTACGCACCATGAATGGTTTCAACTCACCAAATGAATGAACCCAATAGCCCCTGATGGGTGAAATCCAAGCATGTAGAAGGTGGGATACGATGCAACAAATCTTAGGAGTACATAACTTCACCTCTACATTCAGAAATTGCTGCGGAATGCGCACACTGGGAGCATGTGTTTTATAGAAACTATCTAGGCAAACTTCCATTCAAAAAGTGGACAAATGAACGTATACATATATATATATATATATTATAGAGGAGTGCTTAAATTCTTTTAGCACATTCAGACTCTTCTACATTAAATTGCCTCAGAATGAAATGTGTTGTTTCCAATGCGTCGCTTGGAGTAGAGGAGCGTCGATGAAAGGCGAAAATTGCCACATAACAGGGTGATAATGTCGTCACTAATGGTCGGAAAAACTAGGCCATTCATGGTCTAGTTATACAACATTCATCTAGGGGCAAATGATTGAAAATTCCATTCACGATTTGATGCGAAAAAAGTGAGGATTGACTTTTGGAGTAGCCCGTCTACAAGTTTGCTCAGTGGTGCACGAATACCTCTTTGTATTAGGCTGCTTTACAAATTTTAAACACTTCGTTATAATATGAATTGAATAAACGTGCTCTTGCCTGCATAGCGCTTAAGCTAGTTATGATGCTTATCCGCTGACCTTGTAAACCGTTCAAAAACAGGATATTGAACAATAGGAAAATGCTATAATAAAGGTGCGAAAGTCAAGAATCGACAGCTCTCGTGGAATTGTGTGCGTGAATTATATGAGTTCAAAAACATGACACTAAAGAGAAACGCGTGTCAACGGGTTCACCATGATATATTCATTTGCCCGATTTCGTGAGGATTAGTGAGCACAACGTTTAACTGTGTCTTGTTATTAACCGATTAAAAGAATTTAAAGTAAGTACTAAAGATGGTGGAATACACCGTCGAGTAGTAGACTCGGGAAGTACAAAAGTCGAAAGAGCGTTGCACGGTTAAGAACTTATTTGGGAAAAATAATTCCATCGGCATTTCAGCTGATTTGCATCCATACTAGCTTGATGAGCAAAGCAAGTGAAAACTGGTTAGGTGAGGACAATCGCGATGGGAAACATTAGAGACGACAGCTTTTACACAGGGAATTTGCATGTGTCCAGTGCCTGGGTAACTCTTTCACCCTCAAGTAATGAAAGATATAAATATCCAGCTGCAGACACGGCCGTTTTGAATTATTACCTGACACTATGTCGGCATGAGTGGAGCCTGTTCAACAGCTCACTTTTTCGCGTTCATCGGGCGCTAGAAAGAGGTTACTGTTTCCCGAAGTCACTTTGGTTTCTTGGTGGTGATGGTTTCCCATAGTATTTAGTCGATTATGGGTCTTTCCAACAATTCATCTATTTAGTTCAAGCATTTGCCAAATAACTCCCGTTCTAATGTAAGGCACAATCCCAATCCGCAGCCATGAAAACCTAGTTGCTGAAAAATAAAGCCAGCCATTAGCTGCGGTTTAGACCGCACGCAGAAACGAAAAATCTGGATCATCCTAGAGTGGGCTATAATGCCCGGAATTATCCAATCGCGAGTACAAGCAACTGTGGGTGCGCAGGTAGTGGCAGCATCCGGAAGTGAATAACAGGAGCTTGGTTAAGAAGCAAGGTCGCACTACAAGAACAACACTAATAGGTTTCAAAAATTTTCAGCTACATAGAAGGAATGAGCCAGAAAGTGCTCTGACCATGAACGAATGACGCAAGTGAATATTTGGACGTTGTACGATAACATCCACTCGGTGCATAGATCAGTTAAGCGAAAGTGTTAGAAATTCCAGCATCCAGTACTAGCTCCATTGATTGTTATGGAAAGGAACACGCGGAACGGTGTGTTATGATCTTGCCGTCACCCGGGGGTAATCACCGGCTCTCAACGGAGTGAGAAAAGCGTAGGAATAACATCCAGGCGATGAGGCACAGTCGACCAAGTGGTCAGCACTCAGAACAGCGCAACAACCAAAAACAAAAATGATGACTTGGGGTCAGTGAAACAACGGAATTGCAAGTGCGTTGGAACATTCTCCAAAAGCAAAAATGTAGTCTGTTACATGTGTGTCTTCTGCTAAACCGATGAGTAACACACAGACACTTACAGATCGATTGACCGATAGCTGATTCGTCCACTTTTTTCCTTGTGCTGATTGGTTCCTTTGCGACTTACTCATCTGGTGTAACTTACAAGCTACCATTACAATTTTTGACACGTCCCATCCGGCGTATTCTTATTCACTTCTTGCGCGGACTAAGGGTCCAGGTGCAAACCAGCAATACTCGAGTGATACGTATCAGATGGCGACGGTTGCTACGAGACCTCTTGCGGGACTGTCATGTCTGTGGCCTGATGGTGCAGAAAAACCCTCTCTGCAGTCGTGGATACAGTGGAAAACATCTTTCCAACATCAGATGACTCACTTTCCTGTGTTAAACCCCTCTATCATGTTATCCGATACCCATTGGATTATGTTATTCCGCCAAGCCCTTGGATCAGAAGGACAACGTCATTTTGACGCTATGAACTTGACGGCTAAGACCCGTATTGTGCACGTAATCCAGTTGTTTGAGGAATTGTGGGGAGTCCAACAAAGTGTGTTTTCCGCTCGTTATCGGTTTTTCAAGCTACAGCAATGATGCGGAGAAAGTGTAAATGATTTCATTGCCCGCATTCATCAAGCTACACCGGAATGCCGGTACAATACCATTCCCTCAAGTCGGTTTGAAGAAGTTATGAAAATCCAGTGCCTAATTGGTGGAGTTACAGATGATGGTGCGAGGGAAAAATTATTGTCACAGGAGGAAGAAACCCTTCCCTGGGAAATGAAGTGTAACCTTGTACGTCAAAGGGAAAACCTAAAATCCCAACTATCCACCTTCAACCCCCCTCAGCCTGTGGAATGTGTAAACAAACTGTCACCACGGTTATCCTCTGAAAACAGGGTACGGAAGTTCGTCTGCTACCGATGCGGGGATCAGCACACTTCTCCCACCCAGTGTCCTCATACTCTCACAAAGTGCAGAAATTGCGGAAAACTTGGCCACCTGGCACGTGTTTGCCGTTCCCCACGGTCACAAGTCTCGATGAACTCATTGAACTCCGACGACGGTGAGTGCCCAGATTCCCAGCTAAATTTTATGAACCATATAATTTCAAACTGCTCAGTTATGACGAAAGCGTCTCCATATAGGATCACGCTTCATGTTAATAACGAACCTGTTTTATTTGAATTGGATACTGGTTCCGCGGTGACATTGATTAGTAAAAATGCGCTTTCATCGTTACCCGACCTGGAACCGACTGATACCGTTTTTAGAACCTACAAAGGAGAAGTGATTGATTTACTTGGGAAGTGTCAGGTACGAGTGCAGCATCAGGGTAGATCACAAAGTCTGGTACTTCATGTCGTGCCTCAGGCTCCAGTCAATTTGCTTGGTCGCGATTGGATGAAAATGTTACCACAAGTATTAAATACTATCCACTCCGTGGGGAGGATACCTTAGAATCGGTCCTTAAACGATATCCAGAATTGTTTGACGAGCAGCAATTGAGCAGACTCAATAATTTTAAAGCAAAAATCTTTATGACAGACTCAAGTACACCAAAGTTCTTTAAGGCCAGAACACTGCCCTATTCCTTAGGACCTAGAGTGGAAGACGAGCTGAAAAGGCTTCAAAGAGAAGGTATAATTGTACCAGTCCAACAAGCTGAATGGGCGGCCCCGATAGTGCCTGTACTTAAGCCCGACGGTAACGTACGAATCTGTGGTGATTATATATATATATATATATATATATATATATATATATTCACAGTCTGTTAGCAGACATTGTGCCATTAGAACCACGGCAGAAGAAAAAGGTGAAGAAGATGGGGACACTAATGCGATTAAAAGAAGATGGGAAACAAATTTATTTTGGTTTTACACACGCCATTTTATTTTTTGTTTTGTTTTGTGAGTTTTCGTGTGTATCAAAAGGATGGTGAAATTGCGGAACAACATTGCCGCCACTGATGTCTGTTGCGGGCCATGACGTCCAATGTTTCCAACCACTGCAATTCAGCATCTCGTGGTCCCCAACCTGGAAGGCGGACTGGTCCGACTGCTGCCAAACTTGAGGTCGCCTTCTTCATACTCCTTCTCCACGTCATCGGCTGTCCACCGCGGCACTTTTTCCAACGCTCCCTGGGAGTGCAAATAGCGCTCGGCGTGTAAAGCGATGGTGCCAGCATAGACCGTTATCC